CAGCTCGTTCCAGCCTCTTAAGCACGAAACTTTTCTGATAAATATGTGGTTTTGAAACGCAACCGCGATAAACATCGCATTTATTGTAGCCAAAAAATAAACAAAACCAAGACGATGCTATTATGCTCCCACATGTTGGCGGAGAATCCAGGATTTGGCTCATGACGTAAGCCGATTAAAAGGGTTGAGTCAATGGGAAGTGAGTGAGGTCTGGGACAGGGATACCACAGCGGGGGCGGCTGATGGGATTATAGGGGTGGTGGTGTTTTAGACAAACTTTAGTTAAAACATCGCAATAAAAAATTAAGTTACCCTGTGGTTGTTCACCCATGACTAGCTTTTGTTTAACTAAAAAATTAGATTTTTTGAAGTGTCTAAATCTTGGAAAATTATCGTATTATGGCAGCACGCTCGGTTTTCAAACTAATTACTAAAACGGTAAGTGAGTTCCAAACACGGAATTTGATCAGAAAACACAATTTTGTGCTTGTTTCAAGCGTTATTTCAACGTTTGAAAGAAAAATTTTGACAAGACGTGTCAAGATAATTTTTTCCTCAATTTTAGTGTTCCTACACCTTAAATCCATCATATCCATCTACAATTTCTTCGGAAAAATACTGCCGAAAAGGGCATAGATCATACTCGCAACCTCCCAAACACCAGTTCCGGCGAAAAACAAGAGAAAATTTTTACCAGTTGCGAAAACTGTCTAAATCCTTGCAGAATCTGAGAGGTGACAATAGAAATAATTACAACTGTTTTGCATCGTTGGTTTTCAGAAAGTCGGGTCAAAGAGGAAGATTTTGAAGAGTTGGACGTTGAGGAAGACAAATCTAACCGCTTCAATGCTGCTCCTGTGACAATAGATACAAGTTTTCGGGAAACGGCCAAAGAATTCAAGGAAAAATATGTCCCTGAAGAGAAAAACGATGAAGGGTATCCGATCTACGAGTTGGCTGAATGCTCTCGTAGCGAGGAAAATTACTACGACGTTCTTAACCATTTGAAGAAAATGGAAGATATCAAAGTAAATCGGTTATTCTCCCACTTGCAACCGTGTAATATAAAACCGTATGGCTCAACTGATAACCTTTTCTACCCGGAATTTTACAAGAAAAAAGTCRAAATTGTGTATCCAGGTGCTCCCAAAACCGGTGAAAGTGAACCAAGTCGTCGAAAGTTTGACGGAATTCAATACAAAGAATTTAGTAGTTATAGACTGCAAAAGAAGGAGTCTGCTGGACATGAAGAAGGAAAAAAAATAACTCTTGGTGAGAGAAGCTCGTCTAAAATGATCAATAAAAAGAACTACAGTACTTCCTGYATGAAACTAAAGAAAGGTTTACCGAAATCGGGAGTGGAATTAAAAGGGCCTAAACTAACAGTTTCGAAAAGTTTGACTCGAAGATCTAGCACAGTTCTCTTAAAGAAAAAGCAAAAGGAATCGAAAAATAGCCAATTAGACGCAATCATTAAAAGTAACATGGCGACTCTCGAACAACTTACTAAAAAAATTAACGAAAACAAAACCAAAAGACAAATCCGTGAAAGTTTTTGCAAACCCCAGTCTTCTAATCCCAGTGATAAAGAGTGGAGTCGCAGTTACAACACTTACAATAAACCAACAGATCTCAATTGCAACGATTACGTGACTGTTAAACTAAGCGAGTTGAAGGAAGAATGCCGAAGATTGAAAAAATGCAAACCAAAAAAAATTTGTTTTGGTCGTCTTCCGAAATTAAATCCCCCTGATTGTCCTTGCATTGACGATGTTCCATTGAAAGAAGGTAAACCTTTAATACGCATCAAGAAGCGTTTTGATGTTAAAGAACCCGGAAACTTATGCGAATCGGACTTGGTGTGTACTACTCCTCGAGCAGATGACAATTACAAAATCGTTCCGAAAACGCTTCCGGTTATTCATCCTCAAGAGTGTCCATGTGAAGAACGCGAAATGACCGATTTTGTCATTAAGAGACTTCCTAAGAAGAAAATTYCCGAACCTAAAAGAATTTGYCCATGTCCTGAGGAAGTATGTTGTCCTCCTCGAGCCGACGCAAAGTACAAACCGAAGAAAAAGCCTTTACCTAAACTAAAACCAAATAATTGTCCTTGTATYGAAGARATTCCCATGAAAACTGTTCCTTTGCWTAGGCTGAAGGCAAAACCGATTAAAGAACCGGCGAAAAAATGCCCGGAAATGCACACTTGTGCTGAAGTTGAAAGAGCCGATGATGGTTTAAAAGTAGAACAAAAAGTTTTACCAATTATTAAAAGCGACTGTGTTTGCGTGGAACCTCCACCACTTGAGCCAGGCCCTCCGTTACCTCGTTTACCCAAATTTAAATACGTGGAAAAACCGAGAGAACCTTGTGATTTTTCTTCTTGTTTTGATGCCGTCCGTGCTGATGGCGATTTGAAAGTGAAGGCGAAGAAACTTCCGGTTTTTGTGCCCCAAAACTGTCCTTGCAAAGAAGAGGAAATACCTGATGCCCCAGTCAAGATAAAAAGGTTAAAAATGCGACATATTCCTAAAGAGAAGAAGAAGGTTTGCGTGGAGGAAGTTTGTGGTCCGCGTGCCGACGATGGAATGAAAATTAAACCAAAGCAACTTCCGGTTTTGGAACCTAAAGAGTGTCCTTGCATTTCGACAGAAATGAAAGATTCACCTCCGTTGAAAAAACTGGTTCCAAAACCAGTACATGAACCTCCAAGGCCGTGCTTAATTGTAACCGAGTGTACAACACCTCGAGCTGATGAGAAACTTAAAGTTAAAAAGAAATCTTTACCGGTTTTGCCGCCAGGAGCTTGCCCCTGTATCGAACCAGAGCCTCCACTTGATGTCAAACCGTTGAAGAAGTTGAAAAAGAAACCAGTGACTTTTAAGAGAGTTTGCAAAGTTGAAGAAGAATGCACCACTGAAAGAGCCGATGAAAACCTTAAAGTAAAAGTTAAGAGATTGCCGAAATTGGATGTTCCTGATTGTCCTTGCATCGAACCTTCGCCACCGGAAGACATCAAGCCTTTGGCAAGATTGAAGAAAGTTCACATTCCGGAGCCTCCAAGACCTTGCCCTGTGGATAATATTTGTGATGAAGCAACAAGAGCTGACGAGGATGATTGGTTGTATTGGAAAAGAGTAGAAGTTAAACCTGCCGAATGCGAACCAAAAAAGACCAACAAAAGAAGTTTTAGTACTATTGCGAGAAGATATTATGGTACTAGTACTAAAACCAATATTGATTTGTTTCAACTCAAATATGATGTTCCTCAACTATCAACAAGTGAATTTAGGGCCAAATCATATAACATTATTATTGATATCAAGCCTTCGGCACCTTTGATTTTGACTCAACAGCCATTGAAAAGTAACCAAATTGATASTTTTGATTTGAGTTTGAGTCGGAASAGGTCAAAACGTGCAAGATCTGAACCAGTAGATTGTGTCAATTTTGTTATTTACAAAAGCAACAGTCTTGGTGCTTCTAAATCGGTGAARGAACGTCCGAGTGACATTCTTTTATTTTCTAATACTACCAATCGCTTTATTTCAACATGTAGTACCCTTTATGAGTACTCTGAACGTAAAAARGACAAGTTRAAAGACCACGTARCTCCATCTTGCGAGTGTCCTCCTCATGATAGRCATCTCCAACCTCGAAACCCTATAATTCCGGAGAAAGAAACTTTTATCACTCAATATCCCACAGATGAAGTTATTGATTATTCGGCCAAAAGGGGCAGAATGTACTACAAGACCCGGAAAGACGATATGGAATATCGTGACCAGAAAGAAGAAGAGGAGGAAGAATGTAGAGAAGAACAAGAAAGAGCTATTTGTGAGATTGGAAAAGATGGAAGTGCAAAAGTCGACAAACCTTTAACTTTGTGGGAAAAAATTGTTAATTATTTCAAGGCAAGGCCTTGCCCTAGCCCTGAGGAGTTTAGAAAGATGAGATTGAGGGAAGATGCAGAGAGAGCTGCCTCAAAGGCTGGTTTATGCTTATATGACCCTAAAGAAATGTTGAGAAAGAATGAGAAAGAGTTGCCAAAGGTAATAACGGCGTCGTCGGTGAGAGACGAATGTCAGAAATAAAAGGGAAGTAGAGAATTATTTGTATTTAGTCTTTTTGTTTTGAATATATGCTCTCAGATAACGTAGGAGTTTTATTTTTGATTGGTTTGGTCTGAGTGGGTAAATATTTGCGAGAAGTAGCTTTCAATTTGTAATTTTCCTTAACGTTCGTCTGAAATAAGAATTTTTCCGATGAAATAAAACATTTTAATCTGTTTGTATACAAGTCGCGGCAAGTTTCCCGCAGAGTAATTCGCTTGGTGCGGCTGTTGTAAACTTCCGGGATTGATAAATTGAATTTTAAATCCTTTGAGGTTATGCAGTTGTAAATAAAATAAGGAATAAGGCCGATATTGGTTCGGAATCTGATTGTGTTTTGAATTAGTTGAAGGAGGGATCGATCCCTGGGATAAATATTGTTTGAATTGTTTCCACCGTTCGTACACTTACTTGCATTAAAAAGTAAAACGGGACAGGTTTCTCTGCAAAGGGGAAACCTCAATAGATATTTTACAGTAGAAAAACTGTCACATAAAAGATTCATTGCTCGGGTAACTTCTCTACAAATGCACTAGAATCTCAAATGTTGCAAAAAAGAAAACTTGGCCATAAGTCGGAGGATAAATAACACAATAGACGGCCCAGGAGTACCGCTTCGCATCGATTTCTCATCCCGATAATTTCTCAAACTCGACATCTCGCAAACTTAACGAACTAACACAAATATGATGGCTTCTTGCTACGTTAAACTATTCAGAGGCTTCTGAGGGGATTAACAGATCAATCCGTCATTTTTTGCAAAAGATTCGGTTGCTAAACTCAGAAATACTGTTATGATTACACGTCGGCTGCTGCTCTGCTAAATTGGACGTTGGTAAATTTTAATAATGGTAATGAAACCCCGAAAGTTTGAGCATTCATCACCAAACTATAAACTGCAATCTCATCAGAGTAATAACGATAATGTGTTAAGTGATGGAGATGGCAAACATCGGTGTGCGCTCCTAAGAAAACAACAGGATCGTAACATAGTAAGCAGTGAAAGGGCAAGACGCTCAGTGTCGAGGGCTTGAGGTTAATGCCAACTTTTGTTAAGTTGTTATTCCCTAATGGGCAGTCATTGGGGCACAATGTAATGCCTTACATCATATAACTTTGCGATTACGGCCCCATCACGAAGGGTTGGCAAAAATTTCGGGCAGGAATTAATTTTAGCGTCAACTCGAAAACGAGAGACAAGTTTTTCAAGAAGTAAAACAAACACTGGGATGACGGAATAACTCCACAGCATAAGAAACTTGACTAATTCCAATAATTCTACAGGGTGTTTGTGGATTGCGAGCAAATATTTTAACCAATAAGAGAATTTGTTATGAAAAGTCGAATTGAAGACCAAACAAATCCCGAATCCAAATTTTATTTTTACAATTTCCCCCCTATGATTTTCACGAGCTGTTTAGTGTGTCTGTCCTTGATAGTTGGAAGTAAAAATGAAAATAAATTACATTGAATGTTGACCGTGAAAGTTTTTATACAGAA